CCTAAACCCTAAACCCTAAACCCTAAACCCTAAACCCTAAACCCTAAACCCTAAACCCTAAACCCTAAACCCTAAACCCTAAACCCTAAACCCTAAACCCTAAACCCTAAACCCTAAACCCTAAACCCTAAACCCTAAACCCTAAACCCTAAACCCTAAACCCTAAACCCTAAACCCTAAACCTCTGCACCCGCCTTGAACCACCCGTCAGCAGGGCCTATGATTCACTTTTAGGCACGTAAAGGCATCAGGGTCCCCTTGTGTAGAATCCCTGATAATCAGTGTCTCTAAAAAAAAATCCCTGAAAGTTCAGTGTTACTTTTTAAAAATCTCTGATGCATCAGTGTCCCCATTTTCTAAACGCTGATACACTTCAGGTGCAAGACACCCTCGCACCGCACACTGCCAGCATTGCTATGCTGCAACCCTGTGATTGGTCAACCCACGCAATGATGCGAAACTGGGCAACGTTCGTTCCACGCGCGCCAAATTCAACAGCCCACCAGTTGTGAAACTCGGGGAAAATTTGTCTCGTTCTCACCGCCAGGTGGTGCTGGCGGTGAGTACCAGACGAATTTTTTTCCAGACACCGTGGGAATCTGATATTCCCTGTACTTCTGGGCACCTACACTCGGCACGTGTAGGAACCGCATTCAGGGTCGGATTCGTTACAACGTAAAGTGATCAGTGTCCTTTCGAAAAAAACCCTGAAAGATCAGAGTCATCTGGCACCTAAAGGCTGAAAGATCAGCCCCTAAGAAAACTGAACACTGGAAAATCAGGATAGGTACAAAAAAAATCCCTGAAAATCAGGAATTTCAGGGAAAAATTCCTGATAACGTAGGGCCTGCCCATCAGCCTTGCGGGGTAGCTATGGTGATGCTCACACAAAGCTAGTTCGCACATACACTAAACGCACCCCAAACTCCATACAGTTACCGCTCTTGCAGTTCTCAGACTCCATAGCGCTACGCATTTTCAACATGCTGACATGCAACCAAATGTCGCCACGATACCATGAACCTCACCATGACCAGCACTTCACGGGCTTCGCCTCTTTTTCAAGCACTGCCCGTCACAACCTCCTTCCTAGGCCGTGGATACGTACGATCTCCCGTGCGGTGGCCTTCACATCGTTGCCATGTCAACACACCTCCGCATCCTATGCATCAATGTGAACGGAATTAACGAGACTCGCAAAATGGATGAGCTTAAAGCCCGAGTCTAGAATGGTAGGCTTCAAGTTCAAGATTCTTGAACTCGAATTCGTCAAAACACAAGGTAACCTGGTTTGGTTGTGCATCGACCTCGCGACCCACCGAGAGGGAATTGAAGCGCGAGGCTGTGATTGGCCAGAACCATCACAGGCAATCCCACAACAACCCTCGCCATAACAAACAAAAGCACACGGTACTGTTTAGACTTCTTGAAACTTGAAAGCTTTGCTTACCACTCTAGACTCAAGACATAGCAGGCTCCTTAGCCCGTCATTCCATGAATGATACACTACGCTGGTGTTTTCTTTTTTCCAACTAGTTATTCTCTGTAACACTTCCAGCCCACGTCCCTCAGGTCTCACCGTTTGATCAGGTTATGACCCTTGCAGCCGTCATTCACGACTATCGTGACTTGCCTCCCAGCCCTCCCATCGCTCCTGTCCCTCCCATAGTTCTCGTCGCTTCCATCGTTCCCGTAGCTCCCGTCATTCCCGTCATTCTCGTCGTTTCGTCGCCCTTCATCGGAAAAATCCTGGGTCAGCCAAACACAGCCCCGAGGGGTTTGCCCGTGTGACTTCTCGACAGGGGGGGGAATGCGGACGATGGGTTTCGATCTATTTCTGTCTGGGCTTCTGAAAATTTCCGGATCTGTCCATAAATCGTTTGCTTTCAGCAAGTGTTGCCCATCCATAGCTCCAAGTGTAACGGATGAGGTTCTACAGTTCGTTGGTGTGGCTGTGTCGGGCTGGTTTCGATGAGATGTGTCCGCAGACTATTCGAACTGTTTTACACGTGGCTCGCTGCTGCTGTTGGATGATGTTTGCCGATTCACGCCGATTTTTGCTTTGCTGTCGATTTTGCTTGCGAACTGGTTACATTGTTGGTGTCAACTAAATGTTATACTCGTTAATTGCGTTTTGAATCAATCAGGTTACATTTCGCTAAGATACTTATTAGGTGACTGCTGTATATTTGTTGTAATGTACAGTGTGTTGTACGCATATGATTCTTTCTTTATCGTAAACTTAGAGGTATTGTAAACTTTATCGTAAACTTTCTTTGAACCATCATTATGATCTAGCATGATTTTTTCTAAGGATTGTTCGGCTGAGATGAGACAATGTAGTTTGGTAATAAAATGAATGATAATTGAGGTTGTGCGAAAACATAGTATTGTTAAATTCTTGTTTCATTTATGTGATACTGCAACTTCTATATTTTATGACGTTCGTTATTGTTATTTGGTATTTTGTTTCCAGCTTGTTTTGCATAGGTGGTCCTTGAAATGAGTAATTTTGATAATTTTGTTTCATTTTTCCGTAACCATCACAAAGTTTTGTTATGGTATGTTGTTTGTGAAGGGTACAAATCGTAAATGTGTGTGTTGCGCGGCTTGATTTATAAGTGTTGGCAGTTTGTGGCGCAGCGCTTCTTTCTGACGAGTTGCGAGTATCTCACATTTTGGTAATTTTGGCGCCATCCTTCTCGTGCTGTTCCTACTTGTTGTTCAATAGCACCCCCACCATTTTCTGCTCGATGTTTGTTTCTGATTCATGCCAAACTCAATTCGTTGTTCAGCAGCTCTTTTGCACACACTGTGCTCTCACTGCAATCAAGGTCCTTGCACCTACGTGAAATCAGCTTCCTGAACTAATCGGAGTTAAGCTTCACGAGGGGCCCAGCAGCCGAGTAGTGCTTCCCATTTGTCACGAATCACGTCACCACACAAGGTGAGTTACGTTTTATCATGCACCTACGAGACGCGACTCGAATCCGCCCATCAAACACGCCTCACCGCGTCACCCACGTTTCCCTCTGTCGCACTCAACGCACGCCATCCCACCCGAATCTCTGAGTCTTGCACGTCTGTGCGCGTAGCCCTCGTTACCCTCCGTCGCCCTGGCTACGACCGACGCCCTCGCTTCCCCCCTCGCCCTCGATTCCCCCCGTCACACCATGTCTCTCGTCGCGTTCGCTTCACTCCGTCCCCCGCGCTTTCCTCGACAGTCTGGCTTCCCCCGTCGCCCTTGCTTCCCACCGTCGCCCTCGCTTTCCCCCGTCGCCCACGCTTTCCCCCTTTGCCCTCGCTTTCCCCCGTCGCCCACGCTTTCCTCCGTCGCCCTCGCTTTCCCCCGTCGCCCACGCTTTCCCCCGTCTCCCTCGCTTTCCCCCGTCGCCCTCGCTTTCCCCCGTCGCCCACGCTTTCCCCCGTCTCCCTCGCTTTCCCCCATCGCCCTCGCTTTCCCCCGTCGCCCTCGCTTCCCCCCATCGCCTTCGCTTTCTCCCGTTAACATGGGTTCTCCGTCGCCCTCGCCCCTCCCCATGACTCACATCTCCCTCCGTCGCCTTTGCTTCCCTTCTTCTCCTTTGCTCCGTCACTCTCGTTCCCCCGTCGCCATCGTTCCCGTCCGTCGCCATAATTATTGTCCGTCGCCCTCGTTCCCCCCCCTCGCCATCGTTCCATGCGCTGCCCTCGCTCCCATCTGTTTCCTTCCGCCGCCCCCTTTTCCCTTCGCCGCCGTCTATCCCCTCCACGCCCTCGCTTCCTCCGCCTCCCTCGTTCCCATCCGCCGCCCTCGCTGCCCTCCGCCTCCCTCGTTCCCATCCATCGCCCTCGCTTCCCCCCGTCGCCCTCGCTTCCCCCCGTCATTCTCGCTTCCCCCCGTCGACCTCGCATCCGGTTTGTTGCCCTCGCCTTCCCCCGTCGCCCTCGCTTCCCCCCGTCGACCTCGCCATCGCGGAAAAGTCTTTGCCCCAAAATCGAGTTCCGAAAGCTGCAGGAAACTTGCTGCTTTGTATCTGGAAAGTGTCCACAAAGCAATGACTGAATTTTGCAACTCGCACAAACTTCGGATACAAGGGGTAGCCGAGCCGCGCATTTAGGGTACGTGGGTTTCCTGATGCGCTCATTTTGGATACATGGGTTACCCGAGTCGCGCATTTCAAACATCAATCTCAACACCTGTGAACCGAACTGTACACCTGTTCACGATCTAACCTTTGGAGACCCTCTTGGTGTGATTCCACCTGTGTGCGATCGCTGAACACATCGCACGCTTTCACGACGGTTGCGAGTACAGTAACGTGGATACAAAGCTTGACGAGACTCGCTGGAGTGCAACCAACAGTCGGAGAATGTGCACCTTGCATGCGGTTGTAAGTCACACCCAATGAACACCAAGTATTCAGATATCATGATACTGACGTGGCGCCCCGGACCTTCACTCAGCTAACTTGAGCCGATGTAGCCAAATACCAAGCCAGTTCCGATACACCACACCCCAACCCACACCCCCTCTTCTTCGACTGTATTGGAATCTTCAACGTACAGTACCAAGTCACTGCCACACGTCACCATCTAAACCTCACACCTCACCACGTTCTCATCTAGCAAATATATCCGGCCAATCGAAGCTGCGCAAATGATCAGCCTCACCACTCACCCTGAGAAACTGAACGAGAATGAATTGACTAAGGGAAAGTTGGGTACAAATACAAACCCTAGAAAACTGTACCCTATATGTGCTACCCCACTATAGCCTACAGTAGCTATGTCATATAAATCTGACACACCCCCATAGGCAAAGTGGGGGAGAACAAGGGGTCACAAGACCAGTCAAGCAAAGCAAAGCAAGCTCAGGGTGGATCACAAAGTCACCACACATTCCGAGCACAAGTTCAAGGCCACAAGGCCAGTTCACATGCAGGATTACATATATGTATATATATAAGGCTAGACAAGCAAGAGCAGGTGTATATATATATGCAACAGTACAAACAAGGTCAAGTGGTGAGCAAGTGAGGCAAGGTAGGCACAAGACCCAGCTGAGTACAGAAGCGCTGATGATCACAAGGCGCAAGTGCCTTGGTGAAGATATCAGCAGTGTTGGCCTCAGAGGCCACGTACGCAAGCCGCAGCTGACCACGCTGCTGTAGCTCACGAGCAAGGAAGTAGCGGAGAGCAATGTGCTTCGTTCTGTGCTCCAGTCTCTGCTCTCGACACAAGGCCAGCATGGCCTTGTTGTCTACGTACAGCACTGGAGGAGAACGAGGCGGCTCTCCGAGGTCAGTCAGCAGGTAGGTGAGCCAGCGAAGCTCCTGTGCAGCCATGGCCCCGGCGTAGATCTCAGCCTCACAACTGGAGCCGAGAACAGAAGACGAGCGAGTAGCCCGCCACGAAACAGAGCCGGAACCAAGGCTGAAGGTGTAACCCTGTGACGACCGCTGCGTAGCCTGGTCGTCAGCCCAAGAAGCGTCTGCGTGCCCAGTGAGGACCACTGGACTCTGCCCTCCAAGCACAAGCCCCATGCCCGACGTACTGCACAAGTAGCGCAACACCCTCTTCGCTGCAGCCATGTGCTCCGGTCTGTGTCTCCCAGGAGCAACATAGCGTGCGAGAATGCTAAGAGGGTATGCAAGGTCAGGTCGTGTGCAGGTCATCAGGTACATGAGGCAGCCAACAAGCTCTGGGTACGGGCCACTCGACTCTACGGACTCATCCGAAGGCAGAGCTGAGAGCGAGTGGCGAGTAGGCAGAGGAGTGGCCTGAGGCGAGGAGTACGTGAAGCCGAAGCGCTGAAGGACCTGCTGCACCATGTGTGACTGAGTCAGGGTAATGGTGCGGCGTGCTCTGTCCTGGGTGATCTGCAAGCCAAGGTAGCTGCGCAGTTCACCCAGGTCTGTGCACGTGTGTCTCTTCTGCAGCTCGGACTTCACGTGGGCGAGTCCAGCAGTGTCAGCTGTGGCAAAGACCAAGTCTTCGACGTACACGAGGATGTAGAACGGCGGCAAAGAAGTGTCGGTGCGCAGAAACAGCGACGGGTCAGCAGTAGAGGGAGCAAACCCAAGAGCCGCAAGTGTAGTCCTCAGTGTGTCGTGCCACTCACGCGGTGCCTGGCGGAGACCGTAGACTGGCCGCCGGAGGCTCCACTGGGTGCCAGGAGGAAAAGACCCAGTGAAGCCAGGTGGGCGACGCAGCCAGATCTCCTCGTGCAGGCTGCCCTGCAAGAAAGCAGTGCTGAAGTCAAGAGAGTGCAGCTCGTAGTCGCGGTGAGCAGCTATGTGCAGCAGTACCCGAAGAGTGGTCATCTTCGGGGTGGGAGAGAAGGTCTGAAAGTAGTCAACTCCCTGCCGCTGACTGAAGCCACGAGCCACGTAACGCGCCTTGAAGACATGCGGAGAACCCGGCGGCCGCTTCACCCTGAAAATCCACATGCCACTGACGATGTTCGCCCCAGGCGGGGGAACCTCGTCAACGTAGGTGCCTGTGGACTTCCAGGAAGCCATCTCTGTGTCCATAGCTGCCTGCCACTGAGAGGAGTAGGGACCCTCTATCGCCTCCGTGTAAGAGCGCGGAGTCGGGATGTCAAGTGCATCCGGGTCTCCCTCAGGGGTAAGCAGTACGGACACGAGATGAGGTGAAGCAGCAGCCAAACACTGGAACTCCTCCTGCCTGTCCTCAAGGACGTCCGTGCCAAGGGCACACTCACCCCCGACGGACGGAGGACAGACAGACTCAGACTCATCGACAAGACTAGCAGCGTAGTCTAGACGACAGCGAGCAGCAAAGTCGACGAGCTCAGCAACTAGGGCAGGCGCAGCAGTGGACTCAAAGGAAGGGTCAGTGACGACAGTAGCAAGGAGACGCGTGACAGTAGGACTGGCAGCACGAAGAGAGTCCGACTCCGGGTCGGGAAGAGCAGGAAGAGAGGACTCAGGAGGAGAAGGCAAAGGGGCACGCAGAGGAGCAGTGGACGGACGCAGAGACATCCGGTGCGTGCCAGGGACAGGAGGAGGACGCTGACGCGAACCACGACCACTAGTGCGAGCAGGACGGACAGGCGACGCAGGGCGAGACGCAGGCTCACGACGCTCAGCAAGACCTCCAGTAGGACCAGTGTAGGGAGAAGGAGCGGGCAGTGGCGAGGCCGGCTGTAATAGTAACTGTGACGGGACAGGCTGTGGACACTCTAAGGGAGGAGGAGGACCAGTAGAAGGCGGGAGACCAAGAACCTGCTGAAGGAGCGGAACGAAGTACGGCCGAGGCCGCGCGGCGACTCCAGACACAGCAGGGACAGCACCAGTACCCCCAGCGGCAGCACCAGCGCCAGCAACACCTCCAGCTCCAGTACCTCCAGCAGCACCAGTAGTACCCCCAGCAGGACCGCCTCCAGGACCGACAGCAGTAGCCTCAGCGCCAACACCCTCAGCAGCTCCAGCTCCAGTCGTACCCGCAGGCCCAGCAGCTCCAGTACTCCCAGTACGAGCACCTCCGGGACCCGCGGCACCAGCACCCCCAGCAGCCGAAGAACCTCCAGCTCCAGCAGCACGCCTCCAGCGCCGGGCAAACCACTCGCGCAGCTCCTGTGGAGAGAGTGGCTCCCGCCGAGACGAAGCACCCGGTGAACCTCCAGGCTCAGCACCGCCAGACGCCACACGAGCAGGCCCAGCTCCCTCAGGCTCAGCACCTCCAGGCGTAGCACCCCCAGGCTCAGCACCCCCAGGCGTAGCACCCCCAGGCTCAGCACCCCCAGGCTCAGCACCCCCAGTAGTAGCACCCCCAGGCTCAGCACCCCCAGGCTCAGCACCCCCAGTAGTAGCACCCTCAGGCTCAGCACCCCCAGGCGTAGCACCCACACGCTCAGCACCCCCAGAGTCAGCACCCCCAGGCTCAGCACCCTCAGCAGCACCAGAGTCACCAGTAACCTCGACAGGCTCGACTGCGTCTACCTGGGACACACCTGAAGGGGCAGGACCCTGAGGGGGGAGGGGGTCTACCGGGGGGGGACCTGGCACAAGGAAGAGCGGTGGCGGGGGGAGGGACGGAGTGCGGTAGGGGAAGAGGCGGTAGTAGGGGACCGACTCGTCAAACGTGACGTCCTGGGAGGACAGAACACGGCGAGAGGTGGGGTGGTAGAACTGCCACCCTGGCGCGTCAGGGGGGAAGCCAAGGAAGACACAAGGAGCAGCACGAGGGGACAGCTTGTCCTCAGACAAGTCGCGGACAAACGCCCGAGATCCCCAGACACGGAACGCAGACGCATCGCCAACCTTCCCCGTCCACAGCAAAGCTGGGGAGGTCTCCGGCATGGAGACCCTGGGGTGAAGGTTGATCTGATGCGCCGCGTACCGAACCGCAAACGGCCACAGAAAATGGGGGGCAGACGTACGGGCGACGTCCATGACCATGCCAATGCGGCGCTCAGCAATCCCATTTTGCTGTGGAGAGTCCGGAAGCGTGAAGGTCTGGCGGATGCCTCGTGCACGACAGTAGGCTCGCAGAAGGCCAGAGGAGAACTCTCCACCTCTGTCAGAGTGCAGACGCAGAACAGGAAAGTCCGAGCCGAAGCTCTGCCTGAGCTGGAGACGAGCTGCGCGGATCCAGTCGATCAACACCTCAGTGACATCACCCTTGCTGCGCAAGGGGAAGACTGTGGTGTAACGCGAGTAGTCGTCAACCACCAGCAGGAAGTAGCGCTCGTGACCCTGTCCACGGACGCGGGCCGGGCCCCACACGTCCATGTGAAGCGTCTGCAGCGGGGCCTCTGTCGGAGGAAACTGGGAGGAGTGAGGGGCAGCCCGCTGCCGCCCCTCGACACAGGGGATGCAGGTAGGGCCAGGCCCCGGAGGAAGGGGAGGGAGGGACCGGGGAAGACCAGAGACAAGGACACGGGAGGCCATGCCTCGGAGACGAAGCAGGGAGGGGTGACCAAGGCGGTGGTGCCAGAGGAGAGTCTCGTGAGACAGGAGGCGACACGAACAGGGGGCAGACTCAGGACCAGACCTGGACGCTGCAGCAAACACCTGACCCGACGCAGCTACCTGACCAGACGCAGTGACTGGAGGAGACGCAGTGGTCAGTGTGTACAGGCTCGACCCCGGCCGACGTGTAAACGTGGCCAGGTGTCGGCCTGTCCGAGCGTCCGTGCAGTGGGTCACCCGCTGACTCGCAGGAGTGAACTGGTGAACCCCCGCATCCTGTAGGTCAGCACCACTCACCAAGTTCGTAGAGAACGAGGGGAGGTAAAGACCAGACAGGGTGCCAGAGGGGGCCGCCGGACACGGGAGGACAGTGGAGAAGTGAGCAAGGACAGGACCCCCAGAGGGGTCTGCCAGAGAGACTGCAACTGGCCGGCCAAGCGGCGTGAGTGTGGTGCGGTCTCGAAAGAAGGAGCGAGAAGCCCCCGAGTCAAGGGTGAAGGTGTGGGAGGCCGAAGCCGACGCAGTACCTGAGAGAGCAGACTCACCAGCACCTGAGGGAGCAGACGCACGAGCACCTAGAGCAGCAGCCTCGCTAGCACCTAGAGCAGCAGCCTCACCAGTACCTAGAGCAGCAGTCTCAATGCCCGGGTCGGGCGGAAAACACCGGTAACAGTCACCCTCATCACTAATAGTCACAGCATACATGGCAGCAAGAATAGCATCAAAGTCAAGGTCAAAGACAGCTACACCCGCCCTAGACAGCTCGCCCCAGCGGGGGATCTCAGTGGCCTCAGGGAACTGGTGACGCCAAGCGTCCGTCAGGCGGCCAAAGCAGCGCTGGGTGGAGTGCGCACCCCCGCACTGCTCACCCGCGCGGTCGCCGGTGCGTAGGACGTAGGTGCACGGACCAGTACCCCCACCCCGCTGGCGTGCACCGTACCACTCACGGAGCTGCTGAGGGAGGGGGATGTCACGAGTGCGCTGCTGCTGCTGCTGGCGCTGACCACCACCGGAGCCGACCCTCTGCGCAGCGCCACCCCGACCAGCTCCACCTCCTCCGCCGCCGCCTCCTCCACCGCCGCCACCTCCGCCACCTCCGCTCCCACCGCCACCGCCGCCGCCGCCTCCGCCTCCACTGCCGCCACCGACACCTCCACCCCCGCCACCACTCCCACCACCACCCCCACCCCCTCTACTGCCGCCACCGCCACCTCCGCCACCCCCGCCAGCCCCTCCAGCACCCTTGCCCCCCTTGCCCTTGCCGGTGCGGCGTCTCCCGCTCGGGGCAGACGCAGCGCCGACCGACTCGAAACCAACGAGGTCGGCCGCAGCAGCAGAGGCAACAGAGGGCAAAAGGGGGGAGGGGGAACACCCCTCAAAGACGGGGGTGCGAGGGTCACCACGAGAGGCTCCTACAGCGACTATGCTCTTCTCTGCTGCTAGGAGGGCCTTCTCGAGGAGGTCAACGGTGAGAGTGGTGGGGCAAACTGAGAGGAAGTGGTCCCTGACTACGCGAAGGGAGTCAGGGAGCCGGGTGACTATGTAGTAGAGGGTGATGTACATGGGGGGGGGGTTCTTGGCGCAGAACTCAGCAGGAAGCGCAGCGCGGTAGCGAGTGTCACTAGTGCGGAGGTGCGTAATGAGGTCAGCGACTGTGGGAAAGGCAGCAAGGTCAGGGAAGAGGTACGGTAGCATGAGGCGGCTCAGTGCAGCAGTGGCAGGGGAGGAGTAGCGCGCAACTACAGCGTCGTACAAGGTCTGAGCACTCTTGTACTGGCTAAAGTGCGCACGCTCAGAGGTAGGTAGGTGGCGACGCACAGCAAGACGTGCAGCAGTATCGCGTGTGGCCCACTGTGAGCGAACAGTGGCGTCGGCATCAGCAGCAGGGGCAGGAGAGGCACCAGAGGTGAGGTCAAAGAGGGAGAGACCGTCTGCCCTATCGCACTGTAGGAAAAGCTGCAGGTCATCTACCCAGACGTCAAAGTCAATGGCCCGACCCTCAGCGTCAAAAGCGAGGACACTAGGGGTAGCCATGACAGCAGTAGACTAGCAGCGCGAACAGTAGGGTAAGGGCAGTGCAGTGACAGAGGCCCTGCTCTTACCAGACAGGGCGGCTCGGGCGGCTCGGCGGCTCGGCGGCTCGGCAACTCGGCGGCTCGGGCGACTCGGGCGGCTCGGCGGTACGGCGGCTCGGCAGCAACTGCGGCTCGGCGACTCGGCGGCTCGGGCGGCTCGGGCGGCTCGGCGGTACGGCGGCTCGGCAGCAACTGCAGCTCGGCGGCTCGGCGACCCGGCGGCTCGGGCGGCTCAGGTGGCGCGGCGGCTCGGGCGGCTCGGGTGGATCGGGCGGCTCGGCAGCAGCTCGGCGGCGCCGGCGGCTCGGTGGTGACGGCGGGGCCGCGTGGGGACGGCGGCTGGGCCGGGTGGAGCGGCGGCGGGGCCGGGTGGAGCGGCGTCGGGGCCGGGTGGAGCGGCGTCGGGGCCAGTAGAGGCGGCGCCGGGGCCGGGAAGGGCAGCTCCGGGGCCGCAGGGGTAGGCGACGGGGCCAGCAGAGGCGGCGCCGAGGCAGGGAAGGGCGGCGCCGGGGCCGCAGGGGTAGGCGACGGGGCCGCTAGGGCGGCTAGGAGGGGGGGGGGTCGCGAGGGCGGCTTGAAGAGGCCGCGAGGGCGGCTAGAAAGGGCCGCGAGGGCGGCGTGAAAGGGCCGCGAGGGCGGCGCGACGCGACGGAGCCGCGAGGGCGGCGGATCGGGGCCGCGAGGGCGGCGCGACGCGGCCGCTAGGGCGGCGCGACGTGAAGGGGCCGCAAGGGCGACGCGACGGGGCCGCAAGCGCGACGCGACAGGGCCGCTAAGGCGGCGCGACAGGGTCGAGAGAGGGGAGCGCGACTCGGGCAGTGTAGAGCGCGCTCCGGGCAGGAAAAAAAAAGGTGGTGGGCCCTAGGAACAGTTCCCACAGGGGAACCTGCTCGATACCATGAGAAACTGAACGAGAATGAATTGACTAAGGGAAAGTTGGGTACAAATACAAACCCTAGAAAACTGTACCCTATATGTGCTACCCCACTATAGCCTACAGTAGCTATGTCATATAAATCTGACACACCCACCTCCCTCATCCTCACACTTCCACCACACCTAAGATCGCCTTCCTGAGATGGGGCCCCATCGAAATGCAGCATCATCGGTCCAGCGTGGCAGAATTCGATATTGGTCACACCCATCACACGTGCCATGCGACGGGAGTCGATTTGGGCGAAAAACATGAAAGATCTGGTGCAACCACTCACATGTCAAACATTATACATGTTCCTATTGTGTAGGCTATAGTGGGTTTAGCCTTAGGGGGTACAACATTGCTAGGGTTTCCTACTTGTATCACCCTGTTGCCTAGTTTCACACATTTCTCGTTCACTTCTAGATTCTAACATGGTATCAGAGGCCTAGCTCAGGACCTAGGACCGACGATCGTTTGGGCCCACCGTTCCGCCGCGCCGTCGAGCGCCCCTACTAGCGCCGTCGAGCGCCCCTTCTAGCGCCGTCGAGCGCCCCTTCTAGCGCCGTCGAGCGCCCCTTCTAGCGCCGTCGAGCGCCCCTACTAGCGCCGTCGAGCGCCCCTTCTAGCACCGTCGGGCGCCCCTACTAGCGCCGTCGTGCGCCCTAGGACAGCCGCGCGCGTCGTCCGTCGCGTCGCCCTTGCGGGCTGCCCTAGCCCGTCGCGTCGCCCTTGCGGGCTGCCTTAGCCCGTCGCGTCGCCCCTGCGGGCTGCCTTAGCCCGTCGCGTCGCCCTTGCGGGCTGCTCTAGCCCGTCGCGTCGCCCATGCGGGCTGTCCCAGCCCGTCGCGTCGCCCTTGCGGGCTGCCCTAGCCCATCGCGTCGCCCTTGCGGGCTGCCTTCGCCCGTCGCGTCGCCCTTGCGGGCTGCCCCTGCCCGTCGCGTCGCCCTTGCGGGCTGCCTTAGCCCGTCGCGTCGCCCCTGCGGGCTGCCTTAGCCCGTCGCGTCGCCCTTGCGGGCTGCCCCAGCCCGTCGCGTCGCCCTTGCGGGCTGCCCTAGCCCGTCGCGTCGCCCTTACGGGCTGCCCTAGCCCGTCGCGTCGCCCTTGCGGGCTGCCCTAGCCCGTCGCGTCGCCCCAGCTGAGCCGCCACTGCAGCAGCCGCCCCTGGCCCCTGGAGCAGCCGCCACTGCAGCAGCCGCCCGTGGCCCCTGGAGCAGCCGCACCTACAGCCGCCCCTGGACCCTGGAGCAGCCGCCCCTGCAGCAGCCGCCCCTGGCCACCTGGAGCAGCCGCCACTGCAGGAGCCGCCCCTGGCCCCTTGAGCAGCTGCCGTCGCGGCCCGACCCCGCCCTGCAGCAGTTGCCGCGGAGCTCCCTGCCGCGGCCCGGCCCCGCCCTACAGCTGTAGCGGCCCCGCTGTCGCCGCCGCCTTGCGCCTGCCCTTCCCACCACTGGTGAGCACTGCCCTGCCCGCGCTGCTACTGCTGCTACTGCTGCTCCTGGCGTGGCCAGATGCAGCTCCAGGGCCGTCCACGTGTGTCCCTCACGCCCCAGCAGCTTCGTGAGTGGTACGCCAGTTGGGGTTGTCGGGGTGGCCGTAGTGGGAGTCGTCCTGGAGTGGGTAGTTCGGGAGTTTCTTGTAGTGGCCCGGTGCAGCAGCAGCGTCGTCCGCGCGAGAATCTTTCGCCCCAGCAGCTTCGTGAGTGGTACGCTCAGAGTAGAAGGTCGCTGAGTACTGCTCGCTGCCCGTACGTTATTAGCACGGGTGCCCGGACCGGTCAGCCTTGCGGGACGCGTGGTCACACAGAGTCCCACTGCTTCGCCCGTCTGAGCGACGCTTGGCGTACAGAGTTTGGCGACGACGCTGAGCTCCCCGACTGGGTGGAGCTGCTTCGGCAGAGGGTAGATATATTTGCTCTTGACTATGATGCTATCCTCACTGCCATGTATCCATTGTCTACTAGTGCTGAGAGTGCCTGTCACCTGTGTGTGCCGCCTGACCCCGGTATCCAGTCTGCTGCTCTAGGTACTGGTGAGGCTGCCGCACTAGGTGCTCGTGTGTCGGTTGCCTCAGGTGCTGGTGAGGCTGCCGCTCTAGGTGCTAGTGTGTCTGTTGCCCCAGGTGCTGGTGAGGCTGCTGCTCTAGGTACTCGTGAGTCTGCGCCCTCTGGTACTGCGTCTACTGAGGCACTGCACACCTTCACACTGGACTCAGGCGCTTCCCGCTGTTTCTTCCGTGACCGCACTGCCCTTGAGCAGCTTGCTCGGCCGGTTGCAGTCTCCCTCGCTGACCCCTCTGGGGGTCCGGTCATTGCGACCTCCTCCACTGTCCTCCCTTGTCCTGCGGTCCCGTCGGGCACACTGTCAGGTCTCTACCTCCCCTCGTTCTCTACGAACTTGGTGGCGGGTAGTGCGCTCCAGGACGGGGGTGTCCACCAGTTCACCCCTGCCTACGAGCACGTGACACACTGCACGTGTGCTCGGACGGGTCGCCACCTGGCTACCTTCACTCGGCAGCCGGGGTCGGACCTGTACACACTGACCACTGAGTCCCCTCAGGTAGCTGCGTCTGCGTCTGCGTCAGGTCAGCTGTCTGCCCCCTGCTCGTGTCGCTCCTTGGCGCACGAGACCGTCCTCTGGCACCACCGCCTTGGTCATCCGTCAGTGCAGCGCCTTCGTGGCATGCACTCCCGGTACCTTGTCTCTGGTCTTCCCAGGGTTCTCCCTCCCCTCCCACCCTCGCCTGCTCCTCCCTGTCTTCCCTGTGTCGAGGGGCGGCAGCGCGCCGCTCCTCACTCCTCCTCGTTTCCCCCGACGACTGCTCCCTTGCAGACGCTCCACATGGACGTGTGGGGCCCAGCCCGCGTCCGTGGACAGGGTCACGAGAGGTACTTCTTGATAGTTGTTGACGACTACTCGCGCTACACCACGGTCTTCCCCTTGCGCACCAAGGGTGAAGTCCCTGATGTTTTGATCCCTTGGATCCGCGCTGCCCGTCTCCAGCTCAGCGAGAGGTTCCACTCGGACTTTCCTGTTCTGCGTCTGCACTCTGACAGAGGTGGGGAGTTTTCCTCCGACCTCTTGAGGGCCTTCTGTCAGGGGGAGGGCATTGAGCAGTCGTTCACGCTTCCGGCCTCTCCACAGCAGAATGGGGTTGCTGAGCGCCGCATTGGCTTGGTCATGGAGGTCGCTCGTACCTCCTTGATCCATGCGGCTTCCCCCCACTTTCTGTGGCCGTTTGCGGTCCGGTACGCCGCGCATCAGCTCAACCTCTGGCCACGTGTCTCCTTGCCGGAGACCTCGGCCACACTGCTGTGGACGGGGAAGGTTGGCGATGCGTCGCGTTTCCGGGTCTGGGGATCTCGTGCTTTTGTCCGCGATACGTCCGCGGACAAGCTCTCCTCCCGCGCTGTTCCTTGTGTCTTCCTTGGCTTTGTCCCGGACGCATCTGGTTGGCAGTTTTACCACGCCACCTCGCGCCGTGTCCTGCCCTCTCAGGACGTGACCTTCGACGAGTCGGTCCCCTACTACCGCCTCTTCCCCTACCGCACTGCCCCGCTCCCCCCCCCGCCTCTCTTCCTCGCACCAGGTGCTGCTGTGGTAGACCCCCTCCCCCCTCAGGGTGCCGCTCCCTCAGGTGTGTCCCAGGTAGACCCGGTTGAGCCTGTCGAGGTAGCTGTCGACTCTCGTCCTGCTAGGGGTGCTGAGTCTGAGGGTGCGGAGCCTGGGGGTGCTGAGCCTGAGAGTGCTACGTCTGAGGGTACTGAGCCTGGGGGTGCTGCGACTGACCGTACTGCGTCTGGAGGCGCTCCCTCTTCCCAGCAGCTGCGTGAGTGGTACTCGCGGTACTGCAGCCTCAGGAGGGGCGCTTCTGGGGCTAGGGGTACTGCTGGAGCTGGTGCTCGTGGTTCCCCGCCTAGGCGGGAGCCGCCCTCTCCCCAGCGGCTCCGAGAGTGGTACGCTCGGCGCTGCAGTCTCCGGAGTGGTGCTGCTGGTACTACCAACCCTGGAGTTGGAGCTGCTGCTGGTGCTGAGGACCCTGGAGCTGGAGCCGCTGCTGGTGCCGCGGACCCTGGAGCTGGAGCTGGTGCTGGTGCTGGTGCTGCTGGCGCAGGCGCTGCTGGTGGTGCTGCTGGAGGTGCTGCTGGAGCTGGAGCCGCTGGAGACGCTCCTGGTGCTGGAGGTGGAGCTGGTGCTGGTGCTCCTTGTGCTGGAGCTGCTGGAGGCGCTGCTGGTGCGCTCTCTCCCCAGCGGCTCCGAGAGAGGTACGCTCGGCGCTGCAGTCTCCGGAGTGGCGCTACTGGTGCTTTGGACCCTGGAGCTGGAGCTGCTGCTGGTGCAGCGGACCCTGGTGCTGGGGCTACTACTGGTGCAGGAGCTACTAGTGGTGCTGCTGGAGGTGCTGCTGGTGCTGGAGCTGCTGGAGGCGCTGCTGGTACTGCTGGAGGTGCTGCTGGTGCTGGAGCTACTGGAGGTCCTGCTGGTGCTGGAGCTGCTGG